TTTCGAGGAAGGTTACAAACACTGTACTTTCTGTGTTGGTGATCCAAAGCATTGTTCATGTGTAATCTACTACTACTACTACTACTACTACTACTACTACTACTGCTACTGCTACTGCTACTCCTACTACTACTCCTCCTACTACTACTACTACTACTACTACTACTATGAAGGGCTGTCTCGAATTATAGTCTATAGGAGCAAAACGGAAGTCAAGAAGATTCCCAACTGCCAGCTAGTTGCCTTGCCTCTGGGCCGATGATGTCCTCAGGCACCAACCGGGACCAGAAACTCTGGAAATCTGGAAATCGCGAGCCTTTTCCTCGGTTGCTCTTGGAATCGCACGAACTCTGCGGGAGGGTCGAGAAGAGATCAAGGGCGCCGCGAAAACACGATTGGAGCAATTGCAGTGACTCGTCGTTATGCCCTGATGACCAGTCTTGTGAAAAGATGCACAGGTCTTGAGTGGAAGAACAGAATGTGAAGCTGGCACCAACACGATTCCAGACTAGTCGTTCAAAGAGATGCAAACACGCCACCAAAGCCCTAAAAGCCTCAACCCTCAACCATCAACTCCAGAATCCCCATTGCTTTCGGTTTGGGGTTCAGGGCCTCAACCATAAACCTCCAAACCCCCAAACCCCCAACGCCCACCTAAACCCTCAACCCCCCAAAGCCCGAAACCCCGCGCTGAGCAGACTGCACGCCCGAGTGTCCGTAGGGAAGAAACGTCTGGAACCCGACGGGCAGCAGGGGATCTGTCGCAGAAATTGTGTCGGTACCCACCTCGAAGAAGTGCACCCCAGCAAAGCAAAGAAGGGTTTAGAGGCCTTCGGGTTTAGGGTTCAGGGTTTAGGGTTTAGGGTTTAGGGTTTAGGGTTTAGGGTTTAGGGTTTAGGGTTCAGGGTTTAGGGGTTTAGGGTTTTACGGCGTAGGGTGTAGGGTTTAAGGGTCTAGGGGTTTAGGGGTTTAGGGCTTAGGGTTTAGGGTTTCAGGGTGTGCCAGGAACCCCTAAGTCCCCTTCAAAAGGGTCGCAGATTCCTCATTCAGAAGTCATGAGCGCTATAGGGGCCTGAATCATTACCAATACTATTTTGGTGGGTTCCTTTTTATAGGTATAGTTTTATGGGCCCCCAAACCCTATTCTAATTATTGAAGCCCCTACAGTAGGGGGGGTTGCCAGGATTGGGCATCGTGGGGTTTTCTTGGCAGCAGTCTTGACCTCGAACGACTGACCCAAAATTCGCAAAATTTGTGGGCTTAGGGCTTGGTTGGTCAGCGCTTTGGCCCGAGCCCCACACCTTCAAGCCACCCAGAAATGGAGCAGAAGCCCTCAAAGCAAACCTCCACCCCACCCACAAGCCCTATTCGAATCATTATTCATTAATTTAAGGCCCCTGTATGTAACTCCTTAAACCCCTAAACCCCGAAACCTCCGAACCTCGAACCCCCCCCCCTTCACCTTTGCAAAGACCTGACGAACGCGGGTTGAAGGTCTGGTTTTAAATGGAACTTAATTGGCTCTGCGGCTCCTGTGAGTGCCAGGAACTATAAAACCCCCAAACCCCAACGCCCTAAACCCAAAACCCTAAACCCTAAACCCTAAACCCTAAACCCTAAACCCTAAACCCTAAACCCTAAACCCTAAACCCCTAAACCCAAAACCCAACTC